TCCTTTGGAGTCAGGGACGCTGCTCTCTCCTGGTTCTCCTCCTACCTATCCCAACGCTCCACCCCCACCTCACCCCCTCACTCTCCGCCCACATCGCCCACCTCCTGAACGACATATCAGACTGGATGTCGCTCCATTTCCTCAAGTCCAAAAACCGAGCTCCTAGTTTTCCCCCCAGCCAGCGCCCCCCCCCCCCCATCCTCTCCATCACGACTAGTAAAGCCACCATCAATCCCACCCCACACGCCAAAGTCCTGGGTGTCACCCTGGACTCAAACCTTTCCTTCCAACCTCATGTCCAATCACTATCAAAGTCATGCAGGCTCCACCTCCGCAACATCTCCAAGATACGTACGTTCCTCACCCCAGACACTACTAAACAACTCGTACACTCCCTCATTATCTCATGTCTGGACTACTGCAACTCCCTGGCCTACCCAAACAAATGCTATCCCCACTCCAGTCTATCCTGAACTCAGTGGCTAGACTCATCCACCTCACCAACTGCTCCACTTCGGCCACCCCCCTCTGCAAATCCCTTCACTGGTTCCCGATTGCCCAACGCATTAAATTCAAATTACTAACTCTAAATTACAAAGCCATTCACAACGATGCCCCAAACTACCTAACTGACCTACCCTCCTCACCTGATACCCAAATACTACCCTACCCGTGCCCTTCGCTCCTCACAGGACCTCCTACTCTCCAGCTCCCTGGTCTCCTCCTCCCACGCCCGACTGCAGGACTTCTCCAGGACTTCCCCCATCCTCTGGAACTCCCTACCCCAATCCATCAGACTGTCACCTACCCTCCTCACCTTCAGGAGCACCCTAAAAACCCATCTCTTCAGGGAAGCCTACCCCACCTTCACCTAACAACCGATCTCCTCCTCCACTCCTCCTACCACTCCATCCCCCACAGCCACTTCCTCCTGTACCGCTATCCCCTCCCTCCTAGATTGTAAGCTCGAAAGAGCAGGGCCCTCGAACCCTCGTGTATTGTATTGTACTGTATTGTCTCAGGTTCTGTCCCCCTCGCTAATGTAGAGCACTGAGCACACTCTTCGTCGCTATATAAAATACTGTATAATAATAATAATATAATAATTTCCCTAAATGTCTGAACCATTCCTCTAGTACTGCATATGCTATTTTTTAATAACAAGTGCTGTGGAAACATTCCCTTTGACAATTTTAATACTGCCTGAGAATTGAAAGATAAGAGAAGATAGAAGAGTTACAAGTAGGGAGAGGTAAATTGGTTAGGGAGGGAACACTGTCAAGGAAGGGGTCCTTCAGGGCTCTAGGCATGTATTGGAGATCCAGGGTTAAGCTTGAGAGATATGTAGGTCCCGTGGTTTCCAGATTTTGGTGTTGTTGTCCAAATTGTTGTGTATTCTGACTGTCAGTGTTTCCATTAGTTGTATTTCTCTTATTCAATTCTAAATCTCTGATTTGGATGGTGGTGTAGTTTGTTCCATTTCAGCACTATTAGACAATATGCAGCTGTCAATATATGTGTAACATTTTTTATTAGTTTAGAGATTCATTCTATTGGTAATTCTGGAACATGTGTAAGAGGCTCTAAGTGGAATAAACTTATGGATATCAGATCCAGTATTCGATCAATAAATCGATCTAAAGCCTAAACTTGTTTTTGTAATTTTAGTTTTGGATAAGGTAGAGAGTGGATGTTACCAGAACAAACCATTGAAAGATACCCCTTACCTCCTGATCTGATGATATGTTTTGGATTTTCCATCCCTTTCTGTCCCGGTGACAATGATCGCCAGGACAGATAGAGAGGGTAAATATCCTCAGTAGGGACACAGACAGCAATAATGACCTAACAAAAGTTCTAGCCTATCCCTACAAGATTCAATACTATAAACAAACGTTTGGTTTTAGATCCATTTCTTGCCAATAGGACGATACAGCTCGGAGAGTGCTTACGGTATCGAAGACAGTGCTGATGTGTGACTGGCATCCCAAAAAGGTATTACTAACTGCTGAATGGACAGAGTAAAAGATGTCATGTATTTGCATAAGAATTATAATATATATGTTCCTTGGTAGTTCTCATCCTAATGTCTCCCCCATTTTTTTCTTATAAAGTTGTTTATCAAATTAAAGCTCTAGCAAAGAGGTCAAAATCTACTATATGAAATGAGGCCTTTCTGGAGAGGACTGTCTTTAGTAGCATTTTTAAAGGAGGTAAGTTAGCTAAATGTTATATCCTTTTTTTTTGGCCGGTCCAGAGATATCTAGGGTTCTTCATCTTCCCCTCTGGTGCAGCGGTAGGTGATATTTTTGGTAGGGATATTTGTGAGCCCAGACTAGCATGATGAATTCCCCTCAAAGGACTGATCTATGACAGCCTAGTAGAGGATGAATATGATTGACTGATGCCAATCATCTTCCAAGTCAGTGGAATCACTGTAGAGAGCATGTCCAGATTTAATGGAAGACTTTTTCTTTCCGCCACTAGATGTGCACATTCTTTTGGGATGAATGACAACCATCATCATTCAACCTACTTTGTCTGAACCAAGGCTGTCATAGACCTGCCCCCAGTCTGCGATAGGACAGTAAAGATTACTTCTGTCATACTGCTTTCTCCTCTTATAAGCATGTTTCTTGTCACCACATGAACTAACTAGCTCTATGTACTTCTTCCTCTTTCTTACCCTGACATCTACTGTACAGGGACTGCAAGAGGCTAATAATAGGTCAAATTCAGATACTTACAGGTCTGCATTAATATGTGTTTCTTTTATATCTGCCTGAATTTCACATCATTGCGTCGTCAGCGTTTAAGTTTGCGTCATCATAACCTGTCTGGTTTTACTTTGTGATCAAACTACAGAGCTGAACTCAGGGAATCACACAAAAAAACACCTTTACAGTGGAGTCCCTCCTGCAGTTCAAGGGTTATAATAGAAGTATGTCCAAAGCTTTTTTGGCAATACTTCTCTCCTGGATCACAGGACAGCACTCTCCTGTGACCCAGATTCAGCTGAGAGTGGGTTGTTGTCTGATCTCAGCTGATGTGGCAGAGCTGCTCCAGGCTCTGGAAGGATCCTGACAATATTGTCAGGATCCATCCAGCTACATGATTGGCAGGTGGATTCACCTCTCTGAAAGCTAAAGTCAGCTGTGCCTACCCCCACTCCAGCCCATTGCTCCAGTAAGTGCTGAAGGAACAGAGCTGACAATCACTGCTTTCTGCCTCAAGCTATTTAGAGTCTGACCGATCAGTGGTCATGTGATCACTCAGTTCTCAGGGTTAGAGCTGACATGGGACAGCTGCAGCATTACACCGATCCTGCAGAATAGAGGTGAGTATAGATGTCTGTTTTTTTATATGCCACAAACCTCTCTTTTAATTGCTCATAATGGTCATAACTTTATTCCTTGCTCCAGCAGGCTTCCTACATGTTATGTGAGGATGGTGAGGACCTCCATAACCCAGAGCACTGGAGAGAAGTTTAAAGCATCTGCAAAAGAAATAAAATAAGAATTACAGCTTATTCCTTTACCCCTAGACTTAACAAGCATCTAAAGCTGAACTCTGAACTCAAGGACGCCTCTAATTACGAGAGATGTAATACATACAGTTGTGCTCGAAAGTTTGCATATCGTTGGAGAATTGGTAATATGCAGTACCATTTTTTTTAAAAACTGGCAAAACACATTTCTTTTATTTTTTATGGGATTCATATTTAACTGTATAAAATAAAAGAATGACACAATCCTAAATCAAGACATGGCAACAGGTAAACAAATGAACTGACCCCTGTTCAAAAGTCTGCATACCCTTAGTTCTTAATACTGTGTATTGCCCCCTTTAGCATCAATGACAGCGTGCAGTCTATGAGGTGCTGATTTCTTGCAGGTGGTAGAGCTGCCCATTCATCTTGGCAAAATGCCTCCATGTCAAGCAAAGTCTTTGGTCGTCTTGCATGAACCGCACATATGAAGTCTCCCCAGAGTGGCTCGATGATATTAAGTAGAGATGAGCAAATTATTCAAAAATTCGATTCGGCTGATTCGCCGAATTTGCGGAATAAATTTGATTCGAGGCGAATATATTCGCTGCGAATTTAACTTATAAAAAGGGTGTTTCTAGGCTTCAGAGAGCCTTTATATTAGTGCAGAACACTGTACCTTTAATTTAAATGCCCTTGGAGTCTGCTGGGGAAGAGAACTAATACTGTCAGTCAGTATGACATGCAGATGAGTGCCGTCGATCTTAGAATCACCGCACACTTCACTCATTTGGGCAGTCACGGGGCCAAAACCAGAGTGTGGAGCCACAGTGTGGCGGTGGAGGCAGCAGCAATGGGAGGCCATACAGCACCCTATGACAAAATGGAACCCACCAGCAGTGTGAGGAGACCTGAAAGTGGCACATAGCAGAGTGTGGCGATGGAGACAGCAGCAATGGGAGGCCGTACAGGGACCCATGACACACTCTGGACCTGGCAGCAGCATGAGGAGGCGGTACAGGGGCCCATGACAGATTACGGGCCTGGCAGCAGCAGTGGGCGGGCGGTGGATGCAGCAGTATTCGGAAGCCAAACACAGGCCTCGGTTAAAAAGCGGAAGCCATCAGCAGCGTGAGCAGACAACAGAGGCACATGGAGCAGGGTGGCGGTGGAGGCAGCAGTATTCGGAAGCCATACACAGGCCTAGGTTAAAAAGCGGAAGCCGTCAGCAGCGTGAGCAGACGACAGAGACACATGGCGCAGGGTGGCGGTGGATGCAGCAGTATTCGGAAGCCATACACAGGCCTAGGTTAAAAAGCGGAAGCCGTCAGCAGCGTGAGCAGACGACAGAGACACATGGCGCAGGGTGGCGGTGGAGGCAGCAGTATTCGGAAGCCATACACAGGCCTAGGTTAAAAAGCGGAAGCCGTCAGCAGCGTGAGCAGACGACAGAGACACATGGCGAAGGGCGGCGGTGGATGCAGCAGTATTCGGAAGCCAAACACAGGCCTCGGTTAAAAAGCGGAAGCCGTCAGCAGCGTGAGCAGACGACAGGCACATGGCGCAGGGTGGTGGTGGAGGCAGCAGCAATGGGAGGCCATACAGCACCCTATGACAAAATGGAACCCACCAGCAGTGTGAGGAGACCTGAAAGTGGCACATGGCAGAGTGTGGCGATGGAGACAGCAGCAATGGGAGGCCGTACAGGGACCCATGACACACTCTGGACCTGGCAGCAGCATGAGGAGGCGGTACAGGGGCCCATGGCAGAGTGGCGAAGCGTAAGCAGCTTTAAATTGAAGGCCATACAGGGCCTATGTTAAAAAGTCCCCCCAGCTATATGTAGGGTTGAATTCCACCTTGTTGCCAGATCAGGCGATGCTGTGGAATTCCATTCTGCCGCTGCAGCTCAAGGAGGGTGTGCTTTGCGGTGTAGGAATGGCTGAAATGCATGCAAAGTTTACGTGACATTTTAAGGATGTCTTGCAGTGGGATGGTGGATTTTAGGAACCGCTTGACAACCAGATTGAACACGTGAGCCATGCATGGCGCATGGGCACAACCTTCCTTGACGCAGAGCAGACACCATGTTCTTTCCGTTGTCGGTCAACATGGTTCCGATTTTCAGTTTGCGCGGAGACAGCCATCTGTCGATTTCTCTGTTCATTACACTCAGAAGTTCCTCCCCTGTGTGACTACGTTCGCCAAGGCATACCAGGTGCAGCACAGCGTGACACCGTTGCGCCCTGCACATGTGATATGCCGGTCGAGTAATGGGACTTGGCACGGGGGTGGCGGCTGAGGACACGGCGGAAGAAGAGGTGGTAGAGGCGGACATCTTTTGTGGACCAAGGACGTGCAAACGTGGAGGCAAAAGCGGCGTGACCTGTCCAAGTTGCTGGTGCGGCTGTGCCGGCACCACGTTTCACCCAGTGGGCCGTAAATGACATGTACTGTCCCTGACCGTAGTTACAGCTCCACACGTCGGCGCTGCCGTGCACTTTGGCAGAGACCGACATGCTCAAAGACTGGCCCACCATCTCTTCTACATGTGAATGCAGGGCTGGCACTGCCTTTTTGGCGAAGAAATGCCGGCTTGGCACTCTCCACCGCGGCTCGGCACAAGCCATCATTTCTCGGAAAGGTGCTGAGTCCACCACTTGGAAAGGGAGGGACTGCAGCACCAGCAACTTGGACAGGAGGACGTTCAGCTTCTGCACCGTCGGGTGCGTGCTCGCAAACTGTTGTCTCTTGGAAACGGATTCCAAGAAAGACTGCTGACGGAATCCGTGAAGAGGAGTAGCAGGAGAAGGAGCATCTGAACGAGCGGAAGATGCCAACGAGCGACAACTCCCCTCAGCAGAGGTGTTGGAGCCTTGACTGGCTGATAGAGGGCGATTGACGTCGGGTGACGGAGCAAGTAACGGAGCGGGTGATGGAGCGGGGGCTGGGGCAGGCAGAACCGCCGTATCTTTATCACGGTTTTCCCAGGCCACCGAATGGCGACGCTGCATATGCTGACGCAACGCTGTAGTCCCAACATGGGCCCCCTGGCCACGCTTGACTTTCTGGCCACATAGTCGACATACGGCTACGTTTACTTCCTTGGGCGGCTTGACGAAAAATTGCCACACCGCCGAGTAGGAAACTTTGCCCCCGCTACTCCTCACTGGCTGACTGCTACTTCCTCCGTGCACACCGGCACCACTACTGGCCGTGGTGGTAGGCTGCAGTGGAGCTGGTGCTCTACTCCGTGGCCGTTTGCCTCCACTGACACTGCTGCGACCCTGCTGCCTCCTGGGCAACCCACCGACTGTTTTGCTCGCTGGCAAGCTGGCACGCTCTTCTCCTGATGATGCGGAAGCAATAGCCTGATGACGACGAGGCTGCCAAGTGCGATCAGCCTCATCATCATCAATTAGGGTCTCCGCGTCACTACTAGCCCCCTCGGCTGCGTGTGGGTCAGGAGACAGACCTGTCTCTAGACCGGCTACCGAGCCACTCTCCTCGCCAGTACTTCTTCGCCTGGCTGCTGAAGAGGCGGATGTCTCCCCCCGTTCCTGACCGCCCTCTGTTAGCTCTTCCTCACTGTACAGTGGGGCTGAGCCCACAGCATGCGATACTTCGCTTGGTGAGGGGAACACCAAAGGACAGGGGCAGGTAGAGGACACGTGATTTCAGTGGGCTTGCTCCCGGGCCATGCCAACTAACGGTTGTGTCTGACGTACCCACCGACCGTTGGCTGTAGGTGTCAGAGGTGACCTGGGAAGAGGAAGACGACCGAGTCAACCAATCGATGACGGCAGGGTTGTCGATGGAGACATGACCGCTGGATGACACCGGGAGCACTGGCCTCTGGCTGCGACTAGTGCTGCCTCGACCCCTTCCTCTGCTGCCACGTCTGCTCGCTCCTGAAACATTGCCTCCTCTGCCACTCCTCTGCGTGTTGTCTGACATACTCTTTAATTCAATAGTGGTTGTGAAGCAGAAAGTAACGATTCTGTGTCCCTGAGTAACAATTCTGTGTCCCCCCGAGTAACGATTCTGTGTCCCTGAGTAACAATTCTGTGTCCCTAACAATTCTGTGTCCCTGAGTAACGATTCTGTGTCCCTGAGTAACAATTCTGTGTCCCTGAGTAACGATTCTGTGTCCCTGAGTAACGATTCTGTGTCCCTGAGTAACGATTCTGTGTCCCTGAGTAACGATTCTGTGTCCCTGAGTAACGATTCTGTGTCCCTGAGTAACGATTCTGTGTCCCTGAGTAACGATTTCTGTGTCCCTGAGTAACGATTCTGTGTCCCTGAGTAACAATTCTGTGTCCCTGAGTAACAATTCTGTGTCCCTGAGTAACAATTCTGTGTCCCTGAGTAACGATTCTGTGTCCCTGAGTAACGATTCTGTGTCCCTGAGTAACAATTCTGTGTCCCTGAGTAACAATTCTGAGTATGTCTGTCCCTGAGTAACGATTCTGTGTCCCTGAGTAACGATTCTCTGTCCCTGAGTAACGATTCTGTGTCCCTGAGTAACAATTCTGTGTCCCTGAGTAACGATTCTGTGTCCCTGAGTAATAATTCTGTGTCCCTGAGTAACGATTCTGTGTCTGTCCCTGAGTAACGATTCTGTGTCCCTGAGTAACAATTCTGTGTCCCTGAGTAACAATTCTGTGTCCCTGAGTAACAATTCTGTGTCCCTGAGTAACGATTCTGTGTCCCTGAGTAACGATTCTGTGGCCCTAAAGTCTCTGTGGCCCTAACTCTGTCCCTAATACAGACAGGTCTGTCTCTCTTGAATGACGGAGGCTAATGGATAACCTGTGTCTGTCCCTGAATAACGATTCTGTGTCCCTGAGTAACAATTCTGTGTCCCTGAGTAACGATTCTGTGTCCCTGAGTAACAATTCTGTGTCCCTGAGTAACAATTCTGTGTCCCTGAGTAACAATTCCTGTCCCTGAGTAACGATTCTGTGTCCCTGAGTAACAATTCTGTGTCCCTGAGTAACGATTCTGTGTCCCTGAGTAACGATTCTGTGTCCCTGAGTAACAATTCTGTGTCCCTGAGTAACGATTCTGTGTCCCTGAGTAACGATTCTGTGTCCCTGAGTAACGATTCTGTGTCCCTCAGTAACGATTCTGTGTCCCTCAGTAACGATTCTGTGTCCCTGAGTAACGATTCTGTGTCCCTGAGTAACGATTCTGTGTCCCTGAGTAACGATTCTGTGTCCCTGAGTAACGATTCTGTGTCCCTGAGTAACAATTCTGTGTCCCTGAGTAACGATTCTGTGTCCCTGAGTAACGATTCTGTGTCCCTGAGTAACGATTCTGTGTCCCTGAGTAACAATTCTGTGTCCCTGAGTAACAATTCTGTGTCCCTGAGTAACGATTCTGTGTCCCTGAGTAACGATGTCCCTGAGTAACGATTCTGTGTCCCTCAGTAACGATTCTGTGTCCCTCAGTAACAATTCTGTGTCCCTGAGTAACAATTCTGTGTCCCTGAGTAACGATTCTGTGTCCCTGAGTAACAATTCTGTGTCCCTGAGTGTCCCTGAGTAACAATTCTGTGTCCCTGAGTAACGATTCTGTGTCCCTGAGTAACAATTCTGTGAGTAACAATTCTGTGTCCCTGAGTAACGATTCTTTGTCCCTGAGTAACGATTCTGTGTCCCTGAGTAACAATTCTGTGTCCCTGAGTAACGATTCTGTGTCCCTGAGTAACAATTCTGTGTCCCTGAGTAACAATTCTGTGTCTGTCCCTGAATAACGATTCTGTGTCCCTGAGTAACAATTCTGTGTCCCTGAGTAACAATTCTGTGTCCCTGAGTAACGATTCTGTGTCCCTGAGTAACGATTCTGTGGCCCTAAAGTCTCTGTGGCCCTAACTCTGTCCCTAATACAGACAGGTCTGTCTCTCTTGAATGACCGGAGGCTAATGGAGAATTCTAAGATGGCCGCGATTTATAGCTCCACCATTACACAGTGCTGGCTGGCTGGCTGCTGATTGGCTAATGCGATCACATGTCATGAATGAATGCATTATGGGTCAGCGCGCCTTGTCTGCGCGCCTTCCCAGAGATCCCCGCTCCGTCGCCACACATGTCGCCGCCATTTTTGGGAAAATTCGATTCGTGCATCCGAAGTTTGCTAATTTTCGGATTCGGCGCGAATCGAATTTTTCCTAATCTTCGAAACGAATTCCACTTCGCCATGTTCGATTCGCTCATCTTTAATATTAAGGTCAGGAGACTGTGATGGCCACTCCAGAACCTTCACCTTTTTCTGCTGTAACCACTGGAGGGTTAACTTGGTGTTGTGCTAAGGGTCATTGTCATGCAAGAAAGTCCAAGAGTGTCCTATGTGCAGGTTTCGTGCAGAAGAATGCAAACTGTCTGCTAGTATTTTCTGATAACAGGCTGTATTCATCTTGCCATCAATTTTCACAATATTCCCCATGTCTTTAGAGCTCATACACCCTCAAAACATCAGTGAGCCACCACCATGCTTCACAGTGGGGATAGTATTCTTGTCACTGTTGACCCCTCTCCAAACATAGTGCTTATGGTTGTGACCATAAAGCTCTATTTTGGTCTTGTCACTCAAGATTACAGTGTGCCAGAAGCTGTGAGGTGTGTCAAGATGTTGTTTTTTTATGGCATTGCCGCAGTAAAGGCTTCTATCTGGCAACTCCACCATGCAGCTCATTTTTGTTCGAGTATCGTCTTCATGTGCTTCTTAAAACACCCACACCATATTTTTCCAGAGAAGCCTGTATTTCTCCTGAGGTTTTTTTAATTGTATCCTGAACAACTCTTATAGCAGTTGTGATGATATCTCCTGAATGGCGTTTGGAGTGGTGTTCATTGCAGAGTGGGAAGGTATGGCAAATGAATAG